GCAGCATCTGACGTTTTGACTCCAAGGCTACTATTGATACAAACTGATATTTTCGGAATGTTTTCGCTGTACTTTAGTGTCGCTAAGAATTTTGAAACTTTTCCCCTATAGCTTCCAAATCTTATCAAAAAAGTTATTAGCGATTGTTAGATTACAATCAAACCATAGATTTATATAAATGAAGTAAGTTCGCACTGACAGATGATCCTGTAATGGGAGAAAAAAGAAAAAAAGAAGAAAACAAGGAAAGCATTGAGCGGTTTTCATCTGCTGACCTCGTTTTAGCAAGTTATTTTCTGGCAAGATCTATGGCATTTCGACATTCAGTGAAAACGGGTACTCAAAGAAAACTCCCAAACTGATCCACATGGAGTATATTCCTGTATACACGTAGTTTTCTAAGATAGAAATGGTAATTTTTCTTTGCAGGAAAGTAGCAGTGACGAAGATTTAGACGATGAAGCGATGATGAAACTCGATGGCGCCCTCGCTGCTGTTTTTAAATCTCAGTTGCAGGCCATAAGGGACAAAAACAAAAATAAAGGTAACGATTTGTGTCTAAGTCGCTTACCGCTTGGTGGGCCATGGGACTTCACATGTTTTGATAGCTCGCCTGTTTATCCTATATCCTAGTGTTTGGTTAAAGAGTCTTCTTAAAGTCTGTAATCGCTCTGAGATCTCTTACATTCTTTGAAATTGCCGTACCTTTTGAATTTAGTGAATACCACTAGCTCTCGCCACGCATAAAGAGACATTTATCTCTTCAACTTAATACTTTGAAGGAAAACTTATAAAAGACGGATCTGATAAGAACCAGACCAGTCAGACCAGTCAGACCAGTCAGACCAGTCAGACCAGTCAGACCAGTCAGACCAGTCAGACCAGTCAAGTCTCAGGACAAGGTCAAAGCTGTCGAGTGACGTAATCATTTCGCGATGAAAAATAAGCGGAGTCGAAAGCTCTAAATTTTGTTCGTTTGAAGTGTTGCACGAACAAATTAAGTTAACCAAAATTTACATTAAATATGTCAAGGTGGAAGAAGTGAGTTTTGTGAGTGACTCCTCCCTAACTATTACTGGGCACTTAATCTCACCTCTGTTTTTATTGTTTGATTTTGAGTAGATGCCATGAAGATCATTCTCCATTTTAAATTGAGGTAAAGTATGATCTTTACAGATACGTTCTTACACATTGAACTTAAATACTTCTTTTTTTTCTCTCCGGTTTGGATAAACTCATTTATTATTTTTTTTATACTTTTTTTTTAAGGGTGCTAGATATTATAGAGATACTTATCAAGAAACAAGCCTCCAATCCACTGATACTCGTAAGTAGAATTGAAACCTTTCCCTAGACTAGATTGCCATTTTTTACAAATCAATGTACTGCACAATCTCTACTTGTTCATACTGAGTAAACTGAAAAGTAGTATTGGGCACATTTTCGAAGGAAGTGTAGAGTTTGAGGGGAATTTGTTTCCTATGTAATACTGCACTGAAAAATTCTGAACTTCTTATGTGTTATACATACACCCCACACGATTCCTTGATTTGAAGTTCTTGGTGCAAAACTGAACAAGAAGTTCTTTAATACCCCTTGTGTATTAGACAGCTGTCGTGATGCTCAACCACAAATTGAAGAAAGTGAGTGGTCTCAATTTTAATAGATTTTCTAACTAGATCTCTACAGTGCATTTTTTGTGGCATAACATTCAGAAAAATTCATCAACTATTCACAGCGTTAAAGAAAAATGTTGCTTTCCCTGTCATGAGTGCGGGAGTCCCCCCAGAAGGGGAGGGATCGGATTTTTGCACCTCCTCCTCTCTCTTTTGCTGCTTAATTCACAACGTTCTTGCAACGTGCGTGAACGTGAAGCGTTCTTGCAACGTGCGTGAACGTGAAGCATTCTTGCGACGTGCATAGAATGGTTTTCTTAGGGCGAGAGGTCTTCCAACTCTTAATCTTCGTTTCTGAGATGGGATGTGTAACTGACTTCTCTGTGTAGAGCTCATGACATGACATTACTGTTTTACTTTGTCTTCCGTCCTAGGAGGTGGTAATTCCCTTGTTGAACGCGACGTGGTCGGCACTGAACTCTAAGGATTTCCGCACATTGGGCGAAAAGGCTCAAGCACTCTTTCAAAACAAGCTATGTACAGCAAAAGAGGTAAATATTTAGTTAATAGCAGAAACTCACAGGAGCTCGAAATCATGAGGTTACTTACAAGTTACATTTTCCAGACATGTAGGATCCTTAGGTACCATATTTGTAAAGGCAGGGATGTTTTCTTAATTCAAGTTCATACGGATCTTTCCCGGATGAGCAGGGATCTTAACTACAACGTTCAACTTTATCTTATATTTTTATGGAATAGCTATGAAAATTAAAGAGAAACTTGCGAAAATTGATACTCTTTATATTTAAATTAAGTTTTTTTTTTCCAGCCGACTTACAAAAACAGGAAAAGATAAAACAAGTTTAAAAAAAAAATCAAGAAATACAAGAAATTCCAATTAGCCTAAAACTACTCTGGGCTATCTTTACTTAGCGCGAAGTAGCGCGACTAATTTGATTTTAGAAGAAGATAAATAGGCATTAACACGTTAATCTTTTCAGTTTTTTAACGTACCCCTACATGATTTTTCATGTGATTCAAAGCTAGTTCCCATATGAATTACTGCAGATGCTCAAATCAATTGATAAATTTTTCGTTGTAGCTTCCTCCGGCCCCTGCCATCAACGCCAAAGACGTTCACAAAAAGCTTGAGGATCTGATTCAGAAAGCTATGATGGGTGAGAAATTCGCAATTTACGCTANTTGAAGTTGAAGTTCATTTATTTGTTTAAGCAGGTTGATTAATTGGCAGCTGTAATAGCTGATGTGGACCTGCTGTCCTAACCCACCCATCCCACCCCAGGGGAGGACATCCATCACACAGTAATCTCGTGTGTGGGAAATTAACGTCTCCTGCCCCAACCCTGCAGGAGACGGGACCTCCATTTATTCGTCCCTATCCGAGAAGACTAGAATATCTAACCATTTCTTGATGTTATAGAAAGGTAGCAAATTCTTCTCAATTATTTTAAGACCTTGAGTGTTGGTCCGGCCGGGGCTCGAACCCTCGACCTCCCGCACTACAGTCCAGCGGTCTATCCATTGAGCTAACCGGGAGGCGGTTGTATCACGGTGAAGGTCTGCAAGTGTTGTCTTGTACTCTTTAACATTTTCTTTTTACAGCTGTGCTTGTTGAACACTAAAAGGGTGACAGCAGCATTTAAAAAAGCCTTGGAAGACTTCATGTTAAAGAGGTGCGTTGTGTATACGGATTGGTATATTTGGGGGTCTGCTTTCTTTAATGAGAACTCATAAAAGGTAACGTCCGTTTTCCAAGCGCTTTTAGGTCCAAATTTCGCTAGTGAAGCTTCGCTTTAATTTTTGAGTATTCTTTTGTCTGGATCTCTTAGCTTTACTTACGAAAACGACAATAATCTGTGTGTTTGACGCTGAACGGGTAAGATTTGCTTTTGAGCTGATTTCACGATAGTTGACAATTTTTTCTCTGCGTTTCCATTCCCTAGGAGTACACATCTTCATCCAGTGCTATTCACAGAATTGATAAAGCGATTCCCGGTGAGATGCAAGTGTTAGCCTTAAAAAAAGTATTTATGAACTTCATATGCTTCACGGAATACTCTAATCTAGAATACCTGAGAAAGGCAGACCTCTTTCACTCCCACATTTTATCTCTTTGTTTTTTGTTTTTTCCTTGAGGCCGCCTTACAGCCTGTGCCGGAATGTCTGGAACGCAAAGTTTTAGGGGTTGAACGAAAATAATTCGTACAGTTTTTATGTTTAAGAATGATAGAATTACTCCCAATGTAGACCTTGCTTTGTCCATGGTTGTAGAATGGGTTGGAACATTGCATTTTTTATTATTATATAATCAAAAATACCGAGACTCGCCTGTTTTCTTCTCTATTTCAGCATCTTGGGTGGCATTTAGCTGCAGATTTAGTTGAGTACCTTGAAACTGCAGTTAATAATTTCAGAAAGGTAAATACAGAATATCATCAAAAATAAACTCTTTTGTTGTTGTATTCCTTGTGTTTAGCCTCTGTACTTTGTAGCTTGTTATCCAGATCGGCAAACAGCTATTTTTAAATGCCCCATTTGAATTCCGATTCATCTCAGAAAGAACGTGGTCTTTCTTTTGTACATAATGCCTTTTAATGCTTTGTGTTTCAGAGCCAAGCATGTTTGATGCTCTTACAGTTGATGTCGCAAAAGGTTAGTTAAAAGGAAATGACGAGTGATTAATTTTTTTTGACTCTTTTAATTTCTTCATATTCTTCTTTATTCGTGGCCCAACTTTTCTTTATTCGTGGCCTAATTTTTCTTTATTCGTAGCCTAATTTTTCTTTCTTCATTTTTTCTTCATGTTTTCTTCATTTTTTTCCTTCTTAGACTCCAGAAAATTCCACGCACATAAAAAATATCGCTCCTTCTTTACAAACGACGTTGAACTCAGTAAGTACCTGTCGTGTATCATGGTCAGTGATCACATTAGTCAAACTAATAAGACTTTGGAGAAAGTTCAGGAAATAGCAATGGTTTTAACATTTTAATAATTTTTCTTCATCTTTTTAGCCTTGTATATATAATATCTCTAAAAAATATTAAGATTTCAACTATCCAAATACTCGCGTCAGAAGTTACAGAAAATGTCTCAATGGACTTCATTTTGAGGGAGAAAGTTTAACCCGAAGCGAAATTGGTAACAAATTTTATCGTGTAGTCTGATCGTCTAGTTGAGAGCTGTTGTGAGGATTGTTGTTGTTAACTTTGGCTTACGTTTCGACAACTTGCGCGGAGGTCGTTATCAGAGTCAAGGATCGCATTGTAACTTGACTTTGATGATAAATTTCTTTAAAGTGCCCCTGAGATCAAAATTTTCGTACATCACTTTTTCCATTTTCGTGTTCAGTGTGTCTGTTTCCTTCACCTACTCTGCCAAATTTCAGTTAAGACCGAGCACCAGAAAAATCTTTTTTCAGGCCGTTAAATTCACGATTTCGCGTCCGCCATTATTTGATCGTGTTCCGGAAGTTGATCGCAGGACTCAGAGGAATGACGTCAAAGGCTCAACGCGAAAATCTCACATGGCAAAAATGTCAAGCAAACATAACAGAATGCTTTACTCTATTCTTACAAAACCTAAACAAAAATGACTGGGCATCGATGCGTAATTCACAGCTGAAGTAATCGTGTGCAGACCATGCTGCAGGTATTTCTCTGCATCGGAGCCTTGCAAATAGATTAGAGCGGGAAAAACGGATGCGATTGGTGCGACCTCGCCGAGTAAACTTGAATCCTACAGAAATATTTTTCATCTACTCCGAACACTTCTCGGAGGACTGTTTCGAGAAATCTGTGTACTTCGAACAGAGTTAATTGACTCTGCTTTGAAGGATCTAGGCGAAGAATTCTGCCGGGTTCTGTGCCTACTGCTCAAGAAGAGAAGGGACAAGAAAAACCTTCCTCAGTACGATTTCGACGCCGGAAAGCGAAGTCTACGAACCTCCATGGATTTTGTCACCTTTACATATGAGCTGATCAATATCCACCTTTAACAACTACAAGGAAAGTACTCGACGAACATTGTAAATAAGAATGATAAAATAGCCGAATTGAGGATTGAGATTTCTGACCTCAAAGGGCTCACTTTTAAAGAAAAGAGATGAAAAGTATAATTGTGTGCTCTGAAAAAAGCTGGCTTTAATATCAGCGAAAGCAGAACAAACAGCTTAAGACACAGAGCGTAAAATCACTTTAAAATGTAGGCTTGGAGCCAAAATCCGAGAAAATGAAAATTTCTGAAATTTTGAAATTTCAGAATTAAGGCCAAAATAAAATGGTCAATTTTCGTCTCAGGGGCACTGAAAGGTTTTCGAAACGTGATTCACTACTACCGACAACAAACCTTCTTAGGACACTCCTCAACCGGACGATCAGACTGCACTATTACATGTTATTTCCGGATTCAAATCATTTACTGTAGTAACCACCAAGAAACCGTTTTGCTTTCAGTGCTGTCCCACCGTGTGTTGGCGTTATTGTACGTAAACTGTTGCAAACATCTAGGAAACTACTTTTATCTCTATTCAAGGTAATGACAAAGGCCGCTGAATCTAACTCAGACGTGAAGATAAAACATCTGCGAGAAATTCTTAAACTCACCACAAAGTTCATCAATGAATTGAAACATACAGAAGAGGTACGATGTTTATGCTATTTTGGCAAAGTGAAAACTAGATTAATTCAATGTAGTAGTTTTCTTGATTTTGTGTTGCGATTGTGGAAATAGGTTTCTTTTTCTTCTTTGCTCACCTGGACTAGGAATCTTGATTTTTCGAGTAACTATGTGTGTCAATCGGAATTCTCTGTAACTTGAAGGAGAAGACATGATATTAGTTTGTAA